CTTAAGTGTTTTCAAGTATATTTTGTTCATATTTAATGGACTAATCAATATACTTTATATAATATATATATAAAAAGCAAACTGTAATTTATTTTCTGCAAAACGAACCAGAATTAAGAGTTTCTACGAATTCGAGTGTATAAGACGTCATTTTGAATCGCCATTTTGAGCTAATTAACACATTTCAAATTTGAACGACTGAATTTTTCGATTTAAAGTGATTAAATTAGTGTTCTATTGGCATTTTACATAGTTGTACTACGCTCAGTAAGATATTCACTAATCCTTTCTCCTATGTAAACGACATTAAGAAATAATTTTTTAAAAAGATGAATATCCGCCATTTTGAAACGCCATTTTGACTTTTAACTTACAACTGCGCCATCATTCAGTTGTAGAATAGTGAGATGCAGAGGAAAAAATACAAATCTGCAGTGTATGGATATTTTCAAATGTAAAATCTTGAACAAAGCGGAAGATAGATCAATAGACCAAAAAATCAAAGAAAATTCGAGTTAAGTGTTGAAACGACTAAATTTTCTGAGTTAAACTAATAATGTTAGCATTCTATTATTATTTTTATACTTTTATTACACTCAGTGAGGTATTCACACATTATTTCTCCTTTTTGAACGATATTAAGAAAAAATTAGAAAAATTGGATGTCCGCCATTTTGAATCGCCATTTTAACCTCTTTAACGCCATTTTCATGAAGACCAGCATATTTTTTCGGATTCAGTATACTCGAAATAGGTTAAAAAACTATGCTGGACCAAATAATAATTATTTGCCGTTAGAAGTATTTTTTTCTATAAATCGGACAAGACTAAATTCCCAAAAATCCTTTGCGGTGCATAGCAACATGGTGGCTAAAACATAGCAACAACTTACATGAAAAAAATTACAAACAACAATTTTATCAATTACTGCAATCTCCATTCCATAAAACTAGAAGACTTTTTATCTAACGCCATACTTTCGTCACTTTAAAGGTTCGGGAATTTCCGATTTTGTCGGAAACATCCGAAAAGTTCGGAATCTCAATCCCTGTGCTTAGGAAGTGATTTTTTTTGTTTTGTTTTCTTCTTTTTTCTTTCTTTTTCTTGAATGATAGGCAGTACATGTGTAAGTTTATGATAGTACATAACTGCGCTCGCCTCAACGTAACATATTAGCGAAGCGACGCTCGTAACTGCGAGCTCTAACGACCACAGGCACCTGAAGTATGGATAATACCCCCCCCCCTTTTTTGTCAATGAAAAAAAAAATTTAAGAGTGTATAATATCTCAAAAATATAAAATTTCCCCGTTAAACACATCTATACGTCGTTAAATGCAAGCAGATTGTACTTTTTCTTACGTTTAAAGAATGACCCTATTCGGTATAATAAAAATACACTGTATATTCTTTAAACGTGAGAAAAAGTACAATCTGCTTGCATATAACGACATATAGATGTGTTTGACGGGGAAATTTTATATTTTTGAGATATTATACACTCTTACATTTTTTTTTTCATTAACAAAAAAAGGGGGGTATTATCCATACTTCAGGTGCCTGTGCTAACGACAACGCCTGGGCGAAGAGAAAAATCGGACTACTGCACATTCATTCCATAGAATTTTTTCCACAGTAATTTTGACCCACAATGCATCGCTTCGTACACAAACGCTAAAGCCACGTTCTCACGAGTAAAACGAAAAAAGTTAAAAGAAAAATAAACTTGCCTTGATTTAATGAATTTATTTGTTTATTCATATGGAGAAATGGCGTGCAGTTTATTCATGAGATGGCTCCCATGTGATATACAACTAATTAATATTCATAAGATCTTGTATTATTCACTTTTGATCAAGATTACGGTAATGATTACTCGAAACGACTTCAGCGATCGCGATTTTAGATGGGGCGTGGTGTACGGTATATCAAGACAAGAACAAATGCCGCCCGATTTCTGTCGATTCTGAGGTAAAGTTGGCTGTAAAAATTTACGGATATCAATATCATTCAATACGCGAGTTTCGAGATTGTAACTCTCCTACGACAGAGGCGCAAAAAATATCCATTTCAGCATGGAAGTGGGACAGTTTGTTTATGTATACAAACGTGCATAAATAAATGAACGCTGTTTATGGCTTTTAAAATTTATTTAAAGTTATAGAAAGATAAAAGTGTTAAGCAGTGGTGCATTTTATGATTTTATCAAGCTCAACTGTGTATATTTGCAGATCTACCTTCAATTATAGTGTACTTGAAAACTAAATAAACGTCGTGGTCTTTATTAAAAGTAAAAGATTTTCTTGATTGTACAAACATTTTCTAAAAAGTTAGTGGGTTTTTTGAAGTTATAATAAGGAAAAAAATCAACATGTCATTTAGATTGCCGATATGTAATGGTCAGATTTATGTTTACCGTATTTATTAGAGGTCCATATATCTCTTCCCTCGTCTGAAAAGTCTCACATCCACTGAATTTTCTTTTTTGTTCCGATTTTTTTGCTTTAAAAAATGACGCCTTTACTTTAATTCGGTTATTCTCGAGTTGAACAGTGCATTCTGACAATTATGTAGTTACGATAAACCAGTATATCGATGATGCGATATATCCATATATATAAATATCTGTCCCACCTGTTTGTTTACGCGGCAACCAAACTCCCCTCCTCAACGAAAGAGCGCACCAAGGGAGATAATCTCGAAACTTGCGTATTAAACATCACCTTAGGTCCTATTGTACCCATTTCATTCAATTTTAAGGGGGTTCTACCACTTTATTGCGGCTTCACCCCTTCTGTATGGGTATTCTCCAAAAAACGGGGGGCTTCTGGAATTTCCAGTTACCGGACGAGTCCGACCTAAATGAAAACTGCATGGATAAGTATCTGCGCTCGCCCTAACGGTCGCATCGTCAACATATTAGATCTACTACGTTAGCATGCTGGAGTAACATGGCTAACATTGGATGATCGTGATTAGTTAAGCGTCTGACGCTTCTTACTTTTTGACCAACCTTACACTATAAAATTCGCAAGTTTTGTATTTTATATTGTACGGATGCTTGGTCACTTAGTTGGTGGCACGGACACTGTAGTCTAATTGTCTGCATCTGGAATTCCGATCCCGAACAAAATTCATTGGGAGAGATGTATTTCGAGTTATCAAGCCATAAATTTATTTTTCTACTATATATCATATTATTTCATTGTAAAGGTATTCTTTTTTGACAGTGTCATGAATATATGATCATTTTGTAAAGCATTTTACGATAAGAGAAAGAACAATTCTAGGTGAAAGCCATGGACCAATTTTCTAACTGGTATTTAGGCCTACAGATCCCTGCTAAAACTGATCTCATAAGTCATAATACGATTTTTTCAAATTTTTATTTTCCAGGTACATCATCAATAGAAATTCTTTTTTTTTTTGTCTGTCCCCAAGGTGATAAAGCGAAACAGAAGTGCGACTCCAAAACCTCCTCCAACGCTGCCAATGGAGAAATTTTTTTGTATCCGATTAATAAATCGTCCGATTACGGAATATTAAACATTAATGGCGGAGTTTAGGTTAAATACTTCAGTAGGAGAACATCTCCCTGACAGAGTGCTTGCAAAATTATGATAGGTAACACTATTATTACCTTGGAAATCTGTCTCGAAGCGGAGAACACCCCGTTTGTTTATAATTTTTGTTTCTTACCTTGTGTATTTTTATTAAACCGAATAGGGTCATTCTTTAAACGTGAGAAAAAGTAGTGAACAATCTGCTTGCATATAACGACGTATAGATGTGTTTGACGGGGAAATTTTATATTTTTGAGATATTATACACTCTTACATTTTTTTTTCATTAACAAAAAAAAAGGGGGGGGTATTATCCATACTTCAGGTGCGTGTGGTGCCACCCATTGAAAAAACTGTGTATTTATTGCGTACAAAAAGTTCATGCACCGTTTCTCGATTTATTTCCCCATGTTTTTCAAATTGTCATCTCAAAATATTTCTAACTGTGTGCTCCTAGCATACCGGTATTCGTTTGCTGTTTCCATAACAAAACATTCCTTATACATATATCAGTAGTTGTTAAGGGACTCCGACCCTCAGCCAGGAAGGACAACTCTTTAATTTATGATTTAATTCAAAATGCCTTTAAATGAAGCTTGAAAATTAAATCTTTTCATGCAACAATTTTCATTATATGCCTCTCAATGTGCTTCAAGGTTCTTTGAACTTCTCAGAAAGGTCTAATTAAAAGTAGAAATTTTTATCCCGAAAAAAACATTTTTAGATACCAATGTTTATTAACATGATATGAAATTAGAAGTGATTTATGGAGCTTTGCAAAGAACCTTGAAGCACATTGAGAGGCATATAATGAAAATTGTTGCATGAAAATATTTAATTTTCAAGCTAAATTTAAAGACTTTTTGAATTAAATTATAAATTAAAGAGTTGTCCTTCCTGGCTGAGGGTCGGAGTCTCTTAATAGATGATTGAAAATTTCGTCTATTTATACTGCAATTTTTTGTATGCAAGATCCTTCGGTCTAACGTGCTTCGTGCAGATGTCAACAACGACAGTACTTGATAGAAAGTAAGGAATTCATCTAAATTAGCTTTTTGCAAGTTAGGTAAAACATTTGAAAGAATTAGTCCAGAACCAAGCGCAAATTTTTGTTCACAATAAATATAACGTAACAGTTTTTTTTTCAATCTGTGGCACTGAAGCTCTCCGGTCTGTCAATATATTTTCTTGGAGAGCTATAGTTCTCAGCTAATTATTTATCAGTCTCTGTCTGTACCAACAAGAAGTTTCAGAGATTCAGGACTGTTCAGTTGTGCACTAATTTCATATTACGAGTGCTTTATAATAGTTTACAATTCAATTCTTTTCCAGTTACATTAAGACAAACATGAACTCATTACGCATTGTACGATTTTTCTTAATGTGCCTGGTTTCGTCCATTAATAATTAATTTTTATACTATATTACAAACACATACCTATCCAATATTGACTGACGCGAGACATCGCATGGGTCGCCACGTAATTGTTTTCTATAGCATCCTCTATCCAGCTAAGATACATCCCAGATCTAAAAATAAAACATTAAAAAATGTTGGTAACTGCATACTTTTAATAGATTTTCTAAAGGTGTGATTATTAAACATACTAGTTGGATATTTTAATCTTGCAAAAAATGGCTAATCTGTAACAATTCAGTGGACATTTATTGAGGGATATCATACTCCTAAATCAATCAATCAACAGTCAACCAAAATTGATCAATGATCAGCCTATTTATTGTGACTAAGTTTCAAATTCTATGGGAGGTTAGGGTGGTAAAGATAAGAAAAATCTTTACTTGAGTAATAAAACGCAGTACAACACATTCATATTTATCTAGGTAAATACCTTTGTACATATTTATTTTTTATTAGAAAACTCAAATGGTATGGAAGTTCTGAATTAAAAAAAAAAGGGGGAAGGGGTATTATTTGCAATATAGAGTACAAGTATATGAATGACCCAATCTTGTATTTTCTTGGGGATGCGCTGAGAATCAGTTTGAATCGTGTATCCAGTCCAGTTTAAGGTCCATTATTTACTGTATCTAAATTAACTACACATGTATATTGTTCTCAAAAATTCGAACTTTCTCCTCTGAAAAGGGGACAAGAGATATATAGACTGGCTAGCAGAAGAGAAGGGACTAGCAATCCTTGCATCGTTCTTGAAAGGGGAGGGGGGGGCAAGAGGGAAAAAATCAACTTACTGCAAAAAACTTGATATGCAAAAGAACAAAGGAAGGAGATTCCAACTTCTTTCAGCACCATTTCTTTTCATATACTTCTATATTTATTACCATTATTTTTTCACTATGCTACAACCAAAAAATAAGGGGGGCAACCAGCCTTTCAATGAAAATTTTCAACAGTAAAAATTACATCTGAAATTTTTTTAAAAAGGGGGGGGGGGGGGCTTGCTACGTGCCTGAAGAGACATGCAAATGTATGACTTCTCCCACTAAAATAAAATTCTGCTATTTGTAATGTTTTGAAGATTCATATTTTTCGCTGAAATGTCCACATTTGTATACTATAAAACACCAACACGCCCAATTAAGCCGTTAACACTTCTGAAACTATAGCCCATAATAATTATTGATATAGATATCTAAGTTCTTATTACACAAAGAGACATCATTTAAATAAGTTCCACTGAAAAGATGAATCAACCCTCAACCTCTCCGAATAATGTGGGTCATGTGCCCACATTTCAAAGTGCTGAAATCTCGAAAGAGCATACTAGTACCTGAGACAGGATGTCATGGCGTCCTCCCAAGTCATCGGAACTGACCCCACCATGAAGCAATAACCCTCGTAGAAAAAAGATCCTGTTTTAAAAAAAATCAAAATGGGACTTATTATTATTATGAGAAACTGTTGAAAGTTTTTATAACCACATGATATTGAAAGACATTTATTTTTCTTGGTTGATTAAAGCCCTACACGGTCTGACTTGTAAGATCTGATTTCAGATGTGATTTCACATCTGACTCCAGTGTTTCATTTACATGGCATAGGCGTCGGAACCGGGGGGGGGGCTCACTTTTTTTCCAAATATATACTTAGTATAGACATTGAACATATCTTCGTATGTTTAGCCCCCCCCCCCCCACTTTCCACAGATACGTCTTAGTATAGGTTAAAAATGGAGAAGGTGGTGATTTTGGAAAAAAAATTTTGGTACTGAAGTTCGCTCCCCCCCCCCCCCCCCCCCCCATCCACCCACGAAATAGGATTTTAGTGTTTGGGAAATGGACATCTCCTTTTTTTTTTTTTTTTTTGCTTGTCAGGTTTTTATGAAGGTACAAAATCTTTTTTTTTACACTAAGCCCCCCCCCCCCCTTTCAATTTGCTTCCGACGCCAATGCATGGTATGATTTGTCAGACATGAAATTCATTGATATTTCCCTCCAATTTTTTTTTTTTTTTTTACATTTCACAATGGAGGGGGATGATAGTTTAATAGCCATTTGTGTTTTAATGATAGCTGCTGCTTATCATTTAAACAATATTTTAAACAAAGTTTGTTCTGTAGTTAATTTCAGTTCTTCTGTCTTCTTTCCAGCCATTTTGAATGGAGAGGAAGCAATAGAAAATGTCCTCCCTGGATTTCCCCCATATTTTAATTGCAATAAATGAGATTAATTGATACTGAATTATCTGGAGAAGATGTGCGGGAAAAATCCACGTTAGTTGTTCTTTATATACTATAGATCAACCTCTCTGACCTTGTCAATGATTGGTTAAAACCATCTGACTTGCCAGACGGAATAGAGCATGTCTCTATTCCATCTGACTCCATCTGACTTCATTGCCTGACGTCACGGCGTCAGGCAGTATAAGGATTGATATTTCCAAGATCCGAAAAAGTGCGACCATATCTAAAGAGCTAGATTTTGTGCAAGCTGATTTACATTGGAATTCTTTACCTGCATTTTAAAAGAAACAGTTTTCAGAAAAAAGAAAGATATTACTGATGCGAAATACTGCAGTGTTTACTTCCTTTAATCTTTTTGCATGGAACAGTTTATTCCATATGATTTGTCGTTTCAACATGTCCGTCTATCTCTATACTACTGGATCAGTCCATTTGTATTCTACGAAAGGGGTGAATCGCTCCTTTCGCGCCAAATGTCACTAGTAAGCTATCTTCGCGCCTTTTCCTTGGATTGTTCTATTGTATGAATGGGTGTGATAACTTCCATGGAATTAAAGAAAGTTTGTTCTTTTGAACTTCCTTCTAATGCTTCAGAAATTCTATCTACAAGTTTTATACCATTCTTTAAAGCAACATATCGTATACTTCAGTATACATGGTATATGGACATGTAACACTAAAGAAAGGATGTTTCTAATTTGTTTACCGATCCCGCGGTTGGTTTATTCCATAAATGGACGAGTCCAATAATAATAAACAACGCAGTTCAAGCCATCGTCTCCAGATGCATGATCTATTTAGTCAGCCCCCGGGCTGACTAGTTACGTTAGGATGAAACTGCAAGTGCGCTTGCGTTAATCGGAATTCTGGGAAAAAAAGATTTGCACAAATTCCCCAACCAGAGGGCGTGCTTCTTCACGCACACTCACGATCTCGATCTATTTATAGACTGCATTGTTCTTCGTCGTTCTCGAAGAAAATTTATGACGACTGTTCAGCTTTTAGATAGGATATTTTAGTCTCTAATCATACTATGAAAATATTTCATTGCTTCTAATAGAAGATAAGTACATTTATCATGTTTATTCCCTCAATCGCCATTGCAAGCCGAAGATTTAAATTGTTTACTCCTTTGGATGCCTGATGCAAAACTCCCTCGATCAATATTCAATACCTTGCATAAGACATGTACAGGTCGGAATTCACACAACAATCCACTTGCCACAAAGGTCCCAAAATAGTGAAAAAAGAACGATCAATTTTTTTCACTCTAATGATAGGCCTAAAAGTTATGAAAACATCAGAAGACCACTGTAAGACAGTATGGTGATGGACGTGCAAGTCCGCTTGTGCACGTGAACCGCGCCCACATTTGAGAACATTGACCACAGTGGAAATGCGATAGCTGAGAGATAGACAGGGTCAACATCCGCCAACCCCCCTATGAAAGGAGGGGGGGGGGGGAGATGGATTCCAGTATTTTAATCTATAGTTTTGCTATGATGGTAGACGTACATCATCAAAGACATTTTATGTATACGTACTGCATGTATAAACATATTTTGAATTGTTTTCTGTGGCGTTCATTACATTTTGGGAAGCAATTCTTTTCTAAAATATTGAATTGTTTTCTGTGGCGTTCATTACATTTTGGGAAGCAATTCTTTTCTAAAATGGATGCTCAAACTTAGAAATTGAGTTAAATATACATGCAGTATGCCCCCCCCCCCTTCCACATCATGCATTGCCTCGAAATGCACAACTGAAAACTGTTATCTAATAATATTTAAAAACAATCTAACACAAAGTCTACCTTCCTTTTATTCATCACAATCTATATCATTTTAATAGAATTTAACGTGATCTTTATTTGCCATGGTGGCTTTTAATTGTTCATTTACCGGTATGAGATGAACTTTCTCTGATGTCTGAGCCGAAGAGAATTTATATAATTATTGGAGATCATTGTAATGATCACGATGCAGACTAACTAAAATTTATTCTATGCTTTATTATTTATTATGTACAGCATTATGTTAAAATAATTAACTTTCTTACAATGGCATTTTTTACATTTAAGGAACACAACATGATGTATAGATCAAATCATTTATATAATTATTGGAGATCATTGTAATGATCACGATGCAGACTAACTAAAATTTATTCTATGCTTTATTATTTATTATGTACAGCATTATGTTACAAAAAATTAACTTTCTTATAATGGCATTTTTTACATTTAAGGAACACAACATGATGTATAGATCAAATCATAAACCATTACAAAACAAGAGAGAAACTCTCTGTATTCCAGTGGCTGACCCTCAGCTTTTTTAAAAAAGCTAACCTTGTATATGTCTTTGTTCAGATGCACACGATAAATAAGAAAGTAGTGAATAATCTTGGATATTTCTTTCTACAAAGCCTAACTATTGAATTTTACTTATTTCATTCTCAATATATCATGTATTATATGATAGTGTCATCCCCCTCCCCTTTTAAGAAAAAAAAAAATAATGAACACACGTACATTACTACTGTTTACTTCAGAGGAGAAAATACACTCCAACAAAATGTGTTTTTAATTATATCCATCTTTTAACGACGTTCGATCCTGATATTTAAAGTCTTAAACTTTTTTTGCCAAGTATATTTTTAGTTTCTATATACATAGCTTAATTAAAATTCAAATCAAAAAATGGGGGTAAATGCGCTTCTTTTGGCGCTACAGTACATTTAATATGACCTTATTGCACTGAAATTTGTGTCATAGTTAAAAATTAAATTTTTGACGTTTTCCCTCCAATATTTTTATCCAATTAAAGCATGAAACAAAATGAACTCTTAGTTTGTTTTAAAAAAGACACTTAAAAATTGTGACTCAGAAAAAGTTTCAAATTCCTTCGCATAATCAATTATTTCACCTTTCTGCACTAATAAACAGTGATTTTTCTAGCATTGAAAATTTAATTAACAAGAAAATTATTTTAAAGTCTTAAACTTTTTCTGATTTGAAGCAAATAGGTCAAATTAATCTTGAATATTTAGAAAACAACATCAAAAATGGAGATATATGATGTAAATTTTCAGATATTGCTAAAAAAGTGTCAATTTTACGTTAAAATTGGCTCATTTTTTCCCGGATTTTCAGAATATATTTACTATATTTGTCACACTTTGTTGATAGAATTCATAAGAAATAATTGAATAGATATTTCAGAACCAGTATAACACATTTCACTGCAAAGAACAGCTTTGTGTGCAACCAGGATGGAAAAATAGGAATCGAAAATTAACAGTACTTTTATAGTTCAAAATGGAAAAACTGATCATTTGCGTCTAAAAAACCTTCCGCCACAAAATATAGTCCCTAGCTTAATTCTACTTGAATGGTATTTAATCGCGGTTTTTTCATTGAATATATTTAAATTTGCTCTGTAGAATTCAGATTTAATGCAAGAACTTATAAATGATGCTGAATTTTATAAATAAAGGACCTGACCAAAATACTCTCAAAATCTCAGGATCGAACGTCCTTAAAATGTCCACAATGCGTGATCTGATAACAGATTTTATAATAGGTGTTACAATGTACCTTGAAATCAAATTAGATCCAACGGCAGATCACTCCACTTGCAGACCCCCCCCCCTTTCAACTACAAAGTTCTTTAGCATGCAGTGTACAGATGATTCTTCTACAAGTTCAGTAAAATCAAGATTTCAATTACATAAGGTTCTCAATATATCAAGTTAGGATATTCTTTAAACCCACAAAGTATTACTCAAAAGGGTCATCACTCTTCATGCAGATAAATTGATTTCGTCAGGCAAGCTTTTTAAAAAGTGTTACTTGTATCTGTCTTATGATTTATCGTGTAAATAGGGCGTAACATTATAACATAGGAACCCCACCTACCCTAGGACCCGCAAGAATGCACATCGTAGTATAGAAATGAATTTTGTTGCAATAATGTGCAAAGTTTTGCAAGGTAAAAAAAGAGCTCGTATGGTTTGTTTTTCAACTTAAAAGAAATTAAATTTCTTTGCAGTGGAATAGTTAATGTCGGTTTTGACTTATAAATTATATAATAAAGTTCGGAAAATAAATCGAACAATGTAAACATATTTTGTAGTCAGGTTTCGTTTTCGGAAAAAAAAACTTTTTATTATAAAATCTGCACGAAAACTTAACTAGGAAATTAACATAAGAAGTGTTCTTTGGAGGTATCTAATGACGAAAGTTTACTGCATTTTAAGCGTTTTATGTCCCTAGAGCTTTAAAACAGCGACATTCATTGTCAAATGAGCCCGCCAAGAAAGACCGAACAGGTAAGCTACATGGCAAATTAACGTTACAAAATACCTGAACAGAATATGTTCACATGAGCTTTAAATGACAATCGTGCACAATCGAATTAAACGGTGTTTAGGACACCTTCTGATGTTCAGTTAATTCCGGTAATCCAAAACAGTCACAGAGATGCACCTCAAATTTAACATGACAAAGATCATTCCATGTACAGCGAAGCACATCCTGAAAAAAGTTCTACGTACCGTGACAAACGTGGAATTGCATTTTATTTTAATTACTATTCTATACACATAGAGCATCCTTTGTCAAACATGAAATCCGGCAAAACAGAGGCAAACGAGAGTGTATGGATACCCACCTACCCAACCCCCCAGAATTATACGGAAATTTACCTTGGACTCCCGTAGGAAACACAGACTCCTCTAAAAACAATTAGGATTCATGTATTTCAAGATTATTATTTTTTAAATATTATTTTTGATATTTTGTTATTAAAAAAATCTTAGTCTGACATGTGGACCCCAACACCCCAAAAAAGTCTTAAACTGCCCCTGCAAATGGGGGCCAGTTGAAATATACAATATGTTCTGTTTATAGTCATGTACATATAGTCGGCAAAAAGAGTTAGATATATACCACTTGGACACTTGATCTCAATGTCACCCATTTTGCCTTCATTGCTGTGGCCAAGGACTTCTTTTGTTCCAATCTAAAAAAAATCAAGAGCATATATACATCAAAATAATGATCCAAACTAAAGGAAAGAAACAAAAGCCATTTAAATTATTTTTTCGGGAGGATGGAGAAAAATAGGAGGGGGGGTCCATCTTAGTACAAAAATTCCAGACCAGTTAGTATTTGTTGAAAAGCAAAAAAAAAAAAACAACAACAACAACAACAACAAAACTCAAAGGTCAAATGGTCATATTTCTTTATCAATATCTAAAGGGAAGCCTTTTTTACAAAGATTACATAATTATGTGAATTGTGTGAGCTCTAGCACTAAACTTTCAAAAGTTTTGGCCATCCTCAACCAACCGTATCCTCAACCAATCAAAAGTTATGGGCAAGGTTAAAGTTTTGTGGACAGACAGACAGAGACAGACGGACGGACAGGGCAAAAATATATACCCCCTAATCTTTATTACGGGGGCATAAAAAGTATGTACTCTCCGAAACATTTAATTAAAACCTATTGGGGGTCGTTGACCTACTACTTCGTACTAACATTATGACTTTTCATACTAACTCAACTTTTTACTTGGTTTAGAATTTTAAGAATTCATATATAAACTTAAAAGACCAACAATGGATCAAATAACAGGGAAATAGTCTGTGAATCTAACGTTATCTAGATATCGATATGTGTGAAATAAAATCTTCGAATGAAAAAAAAATGAACGTTGAAACTACACTCGATTTGAATAACTTGATTTTCATCCAAATAAATAATTATAGATACTTGTATTAATGTGATGCATTTGCAACATTATATGTTTTATATAATACTTTTTGCAGGTCAACCATTTCTGGGTATTGCATTTCGAATTATACACGTTTTTTTTTAATACATTTAACCTTAACTTAAATAAAGGTAAACGTGTTGTGTTACGAGGGTGGCGATAACCTGGAATGTATGAAGAGCCTTGCGCGATGACTGCTCATCCGATCAGCTGTCGACACACCCAATACATTGTGATAATATCAGAGGCACATACCATGACCATAACCCAATAAACATTTATCATTGAACACAAAGTATTCTTTAAAAGTTCTCTCAGCACCTTTGTATATTCTATGACCATTAAGCCACCATTTTTTTTTTTTGGGGGGGGGGGGGAACAACATAAAAGTAAAGTTTTATAACCCCCCCCCCCCCCCCCCAAAAAAAAAAGTGTGAGAAGTTACTAAAAACTCAAACTTTTTCGCACAATGGGAAATTCTTAATTTTTTACTGCTAAGCTTTATGATCTTGTGACTGCATTACTCAATACATTGTAGGTGCATAGTATGGTCGCCATGCATTCAACTGTTTGTTCTATACTCAAAGACCGATTCAACCATTGTGGCAACGCACTTTGAAAAATATTATGACTTTGAAAAAAATTTTCAAAGTGCGTTAAAACTGGGACAAAATCAACGCACTTTGAAAAAATTTTTCAAAGTGCGTTAAATTTGGGACACACTCAACGCACTTTGAAAAATTTTTTGAAGTGCGTTCAGAGTGTACGTAAACATTTTTTGCCTGTGAGGCATTTTACGCACTTTGAAAAATATCTATAAAACAAAAAAGTTTAGACATAGATTTTAGTAATTGAGAGAATCAATCTGTAATAATTATATAAATCTTTTGAAAAAAATTTTCAAAGTGCATAATTTTTCAAAGTGCGTTGTAACAAACCATTCTCTAGAACAAGGAAGTTTGTCACGCCTCACTGGAACCAAACCCCAAAAGTAAACGGGACTTTCTACGAGCGGTCAAATTATTTACTCTTATATAGGAATGTTTTTAGAAAGAAAATAAGGAAAATGCATTCTGTTCAAAAATCTACCACTCAGAAGCAAGATTCATTTGTTTTGATTAATTTAAAGTTAAATGGTATATTCAAAGCAAAACAACAGAACAGATTTGTAAAGGTTTACACCGTTATTTAGATGCCAGTGCTAAAAGCTTCAATTGATTTCTAACATATGTCACACTTAAAAAAAGAAGGCAATATCAATATATAGAATCTTGTCATTGTATTTGAGCTTTGTGATATAAACTGAATACGACGGTTATACATTACCACGCCCTATATATCAATACCGTCATAAAGTGAAAATAAAGGAAATTTGTTTTAAATGAAATACTGACCTGCAAAAGTAAAAGGAAAAGTAAAAAGTCCCGCGGGCGATCCATTTTACTCCCCCCTCGATGTCCGCAGGATGAAGTGTAGTGGATTGCTTCCCGCCCTAATTACAATATCCAAGTTTATGCTTGGGTACATGTAACTGCGCATTGGGTTTAGGACATATGACAAGGGTAAGGTTTCATGTTTAAAAAGCTAGAAAGGCTCATTCAGCAGAACTATGCAAAGTGTCATTTTAATGCAATATCGATAAAATCATCATGGCGCTGGATCGATTTACGCAATCATTTTTTTCATAAAAAATCTAAAGGTAACCATTGTATTCACTCTTATATGTGCAACTAACATGTACAAAACAATCATGAATTTAGAAATACATGGTGTATTTATTTAGTATAATGAATTTTTCTTGGTGAAAGGAAGCGTGAGGAAAATGGCTCACGGTTACTGTATTCTGAAGGTTACAAAAACGCAGGGCTGTGAAACCTAAACAAAAAGATCCCTGTTTTCGGATGGGTCAAGATAACTTTATAAAAGATGAGTAATTAGCAAAGGTACCCGACCCTTAGAATTTCAATACAAAGTTTCTGCACTTTATCCAAGGGGTTCAGTTGCTTCAACGACCACGAGCTGTCCACTGTGACCTACTACAGTGTATATGCTAGTACACATAATAAAAATACATACATATGGAGAGGGGTGCATGTTTCTAATGTATTGTCCAACCATTTAACATAAAAACTTATCCAAAAAACGTTTTTTCTTTAGAAGTTGAATCGATGAAAAGTATACTACTGGGTATTAGAATATCTGAAACGGAAACGAATTCAGCTAAAGAAATGTAAAATAATAGTCTCAGAGTAATGTAATAAGAGTGTGTATAATAAATTAATAATATAATTGTGTGATCTTATGCTACATTGGTCGTATCGGCTTGATCTTAAAGGACTTGGTTTCATTCTAGCTTGCAAAAAAAGTGTTTTAAATTGCAATAATGACCAAGTGCATGGGTACTCAATGTTATTAATTGTCCTTTATGGAACGCCATGGCTGCCTTATGTTAGCTGACTTTATTATATGCTGTGGGTTTGTAATTATATGCTGTGGGTTCGTAATTATATGCTGTGGGTCTTTAATTATATGCTGTGGTTCTATAATTATATGCTGTGGGTTTATAATTATATGCTGTGGGTCTATTATTATATGCTGTGGATGTATTATTATATGCTGTGGGTCTATTATTATATGCTGTGGATGTATTATGCTGTGGGTTTATAATTATATGCTGTGGGTCTATTACTATATGCTGTGGTTTCGTTATTATATGCTGTGGGTTCATAATTATATGCTGTGGGTGTATCATTATATATTCTGTCGGTTTATTAGAAACTAGCTTTTCGAATCCGGACTTCTCGTTTTTAGAGTTTACTTGCTCAAAATGGCGGCAACTGCAACAGGTCTTACCGTAATAGGAATGAGAGTACCAAATCCCCGAATGAGCACATTGCTTTATTTGTGGTGCCACAAATAAAGCCATCTGCTCATCCGGGGATTTGGTACTCTCACGTCTAGCGCTCTCGAGCGCTAGCAACTACGTTAGTCCAAATTCCTTGAATACGCATGCTCGTCGTGCATTCTGGGAAAATTGTGAAAACTACCATAGGTAGACCGTACGATAACAATTTCGTTGTATCATTAAATAACTTTATTTATTGTGTAGATTACACTCTAAAGATAACTGCATAATTGTAATACTTCAAATTTTCCCTTTTTTCTGACGGAAAAGCCCGAGTCACTAGCTCATTGTACTAAACAAAGACAAGGGAGGTTTTTTGCTAGCGATCGGCTTCACGGTCGGGCATTCTGGGAAAACTTCACACGGTCTAGCTGTCTGTGAAAACGACCGTAGATAGACTGTACGATAACAATTTCATTGTGTCATTAAGTAGAACGGGTCTTTTCTGGTTGATTCTGAAGTTTGTTTATTTACAGTGTAACTTACACTTTAATGTAAACTACACAAGAAAAAACTTAGGTCATATACGTAATGCAAAGATTCTAGACATCTAGCTTGCGAGTTCTACCACCTTCCTGGATAATGCCGTCAACCTCATAAAAAATCTCTTTTTTTTTTCTTTTCAAAGTTTATTGAATTGGCAAGACACAATAAGCGATTGATACTTCCAAACTAATATAATTTTAATTCTATAAAATACACTTCACAAAAGATTTTACCTCTAACAATCAGAATCCATACTCATTAAACATTAAAGACTTCGGCAAAATAAATTAGTTAACCACGAACCTTCCTTTCGGCGCTAGCTCGCCTATCTTTTTTTTTTTTAAAAATAAACTTGTTCCTATTACGGTTAGGCCTGTTGCAGTTACTGCCAATTTTGAGCAAGTATAACCTCCAAAAACGAGAAGTCCTGATTAGAAAAGCTAGTTTTTAATAAACCGAGAGATTATATGATAATACACCCACAGCATATAATTATGAACCTACAGCATATAATAATGAAATAACAGCATATAATAAAAGAACCACAGCATATAATTATAGAACCACAGCATATAATTAAAGACCCACAGCATATAATTACGAACCCACAGCATATAATTACAAACCCACAGCATATAATAAAGTCAGCTAACATAAGGCAGCCATGGCGTTCCATAGTCCTTCAGTGGAAATTCTTCCTATGATGTATGAACTACAATGGTTGAGAAAAAAAATTCTCACATTGAGAGTTGTGTACCCTGGTATTTCAAGGTCTTGACCAGTTTCAATGGCAAAAAATTAAGTTCAGATGATTGCAATATTTATAATTTTCTTCCATAACCACAAAATACATGTATAATAAGAACCATAAAACCATTGCCTGAAAACCATTTATTGTTACTAGCATTTTCTATTTGTTGCAAAATAAAATGTAGACTATTGCATTTAGCAATATCGTCCACTAATGATATACCAATGATATCCATTTCATATCAAGCAAGGACAAATTCTTACATCGTAGTGATAAAAACTATCAACTACCAAAATCACAAATTAAATGCAAAGCACTTGTACTAACACACTAGCACATTTATTTCATTTGTTATTACTAAAAAAAACTTGATTGAAACATCACAGTGCAGAGCTGCAATATGATCACTCAAATCCATTCCATGAACGTATAAAACTTGCCTGATTAGTAAGCATTGCATGACATTAGTAAGCATTCTTTGGCATTAAGTAAGCATTGCATGACATTATTAAGCATAGCATGGTATTTATCAAACATTATATAACAATAAATAAACATTGATGGACATTAAGTAAGCAATTAAGCATTGCTTTACATTAAGTAATCATTGCCTGACATTTAGTAAGCATTGTACGACATTATTAAGCAAATGCATGTCAATTAGTAAGCAATTAATGCATGTCATTTAGTAAGCATTGCATGACAGTAGTAAGCATTGCATGTCATTTAGTAAGCAATGCATGATCTTTAGTAAGCAGTGCTATTTAGTAATCAATGCATGTCATTTAGTATATAAGCATTGCATGTAATTTAGGAAGAATTGCATGACATTAAGTAAGCATGTTTCGACATTTAGTGAGCTATTTTTGAAATTTATAAGCATTACCTTACATTGCGAAAGCGTTGACTGATCGATAGTTAGTAAGCACTGTATGGCATTAATAACCATTTTTAACCTAAGTAAGCATTGGGTTATTTAATGCTTAACAATGCTTGGTAATGCCATGTACATGTAATGCTTACTAATTGCATGACATTAGCAAGCTTCACACATCAGAAAGCAAATTGTTTGCATAATAAAAGTAGGCTTTATTTGACATTTATTAAGCTTTGCATTATATGTTAGTAAACATTGCAAGACATAATATGAGGGATCCCAGTCCCAAGTTCAGAAAACAGAAAGAATTCATGTTAAAAACAATTTTTTCTTTTACTCACATATATGTACGATATACAAAAGAAAGTACATGCAAGCATCAAGCCTATAAAAGTATCAAGAAGAAAAACGGTTTGGTTTCTTTTGAAGTTTTCCTGCATGTCCTTTAATTTGAGATATTCGATCACAAATAATTCTCTGATGTCCACAAAAGAACTTCAAATTTATCAATAATTCTGAGGCATTGCACATCCTGGGTTAGGATTCGATACAAAGAGTCGAGGGTGTCATGGTTGACAGATTCTGAGATTTCCGGCTTGATCAAGCGGTCAATGGCCGGATACCCTAGAAGGAACCCATTCAATTCAATTCAATTTACATATTTCTTACATGACTCAAATATGGTGTACCATAATTACCATACTGAACAGTTTTGGTCTTTATGAAGACAAAGTCGTTTTTGACTTGTTTAATAAGTATTGCAATGTCGCCAGAAGGACAACCGATGAACTTGGGATCAGTTTTTTTAATTTAACCACACACTCAGATTATTTTAATTTACTCTTCACATTTTTGATATAATCAGTTTCAAACCATATCTTCATTGCTTTTTCGGCCACTCCATCATTAAATGGAATGACCCATGGCATGATATGGACTTATGTCAGTAGAGTACCATTGGTGGTCGTAAAGTTTAATGTTGTTCCATTTACATTTCTGTGTATGCGTCTTTTTTTTTTTTTAATGACTGAGACACGAAACAAACCTGTAAGATGATGACACTACAGAAAAGTAATATCAAATAAGTAAATTTTATGTCCATGCAAAGCAAAAAAACTATAGGATCGGTTTACTCCAGTTTGTCTGGCATACCTTAAATTTGTTGAGCTTTGAGGGATAGAATTTTAACATTTAAAACCAATATTATTTTCAGAAAATCCGGATAAATTACCACTTTACCTGAAAATTTGACCTGCTGCAAGCGGAAAGGGAGAGAAGAATTCGTAACTCGAGAGTACCTCTAAAATTGTTGATACATGTATAATATTTCTGATAAATGTAATAACGTGCTCAACGAAACTGAACAGCTCTCGACAGTATTTTATCATTTTGAATAAGTAGTTAAGTTTCATAAACATAAATGCTCCACCTTTTTGCAAATATATATACATAATATAGGCATTGAAAATGGCGGTTTACCTTTGAATTCTTTT